TCATTTGTCTTCGGCAAATCTGATTTGACTCGCGCCTATTATCAGATCCCAGCTCATGTTGATGTCCCATAGATAGCAGTCACTGCACTTTCTGATCTCCTTGGATTTCTTCGCAAGCCCTCCGAAACAATGCGCTAACTTCCCAACGATTCGTTCAGGGATTAGACTTTGCCTGTGCTTACCTGGATAACATCCCGATAGCCAGTTTAGACGAACATACCCATCGTAGCCGCTTACAAAAGGGTTTTTCGCGAAACCGTCTGAGAATTCAGTGGCAGTCAGTTTGCGTAAGTGCCAGATTGACGTTCGTTCACTGAATTTTTTGGGACGTGTGACTGGCGAATGTGACGTTCTCCTTTTTACCCGTAAAGGTAAAGATGATTCTAGACTTTCTAGTACCAACACCCGTCAAGTCTCTGCGCACATTTCTCGAAATGGCCAGTTGTTACCGCCGTTTTGTTCCCCATTGTGCGCATATATTAAATGCATTGACAAATTTCAAAAGCAATTGCAAAATTCTGAAAGTGAGCGTGGAAGCTTTAGAAGCACTTCGGAATATCAAGATGGCCATAAGAGACTTCACTGAGCTGGTACATCAGGACGTCAGACTTTCCGCAGCATTTCTGCTGGTGTTTCTAATATAGCCTTCGAAGCTTTACCACCGCAGCTTATGGATGACACCTGGAACCCCCTTGCTTTCTTTTCTAGGAAGCCGTGTGTATGTGAAATGCAGTAAAACACTTGGTTGTGAACCGCCAACCACCTACACTTCCATTAAGCATCTTCGATATTCCACTGAGGGCAGCGAGTTTGCTGCTTTACAATTCACAACCCCTAACGCTTGCTGCTCACTCTCCATACGAATTGCATCATCTGTATTACACTTCACAGCACAAGTCAAAAGCCCTTAAGTCTCTGGTGTGTTTCATCCTATAGCATCTGCTTTGTCACGCATTTACACTGCTGTAGTGTCTCAAACTATTGATCCCGGCAAATGGCGGAACTTCAAGCGTCTGCTACTCCTTGTACAAAATTTACCCACGTTCATCTGGACATCGCTGGCCCACTTCCACCCCCAAACGGCCATTCGTATCTCCCCACATTCATAGATCGTCGATTGAGCGCCTCGCTGTCGGCTGTTGACCACGTGAAACAGGCACATTCCTTGCCATCAGTCCTCCTCACCCTCAAAGTGGACATAGAATGCGCTCCAACTCAACTGGTTTTCGGAATGACACTCCGTTTGGTAGGCAAATTGGTGTCTCCAGATTTACATTATTATAAAAATTATTTGGCGCTTGGATTCCTCGTAAAGTATAGGGCCTCAGTAGCACATCACTGCACTTTGTACACGCAGTCTTTTGAACCTGGCTCCACCACTGCTACTCTGATTGCTTCCGTGTGGCCATCGAGACCCACTCCTTGCCTTGCCTCTTCCTCCTTCCCAACACGTTATGCAGGTTTCCTTTCGCAAAACTTTCAAAGAGTTCCGGTGTTCTTCCACACAGGTTCATGAGGATGTTGCCTAATGTCCCCTATTTTGTCCTGATGACTGACTGACGTGAAGATGTCCTTTGAAGTATCGTCCTTCAGTTTGTGTTTTGGATATTGAACCGGAATTGTGGTCTATCACCAGCCTCTGCGAAAGCTTTCAACTTGATCTTGAAGGTAGGTTCTTTGCACTAGGTGGAGATTAGTCTGAATCCCATAAATCTGCTCTCCTTCTTGATTTAGTTTAGTGTCCATTAGGCTGCGTCCCCACTTTCTTCACATTGAGATGAAGTAGACCTGATTTTTAGTGTGTCCCTCTGGTAAAATCAAACCCTGGTGTCTGGTGAAATCAAATCCATGTCGCTTTGTGAATATTCTTGTCTTGGTACACACTACCTCCAATCAGCAAATCGTTGAATGCGCAGGAATCCCCAAACTGTTCTCCATTCTCACTCATTTCACCGAGTGCTTCTCACATATGATCAGTTCTCTTCCTGAGTTATCCGCTCCCATTCACATTCATGTCACCCCACCCATCACAATCTTGATATCTCCAACTAAAATGGCGTCTCGTCCAGTAATGATTGCAGTTGTCTGTAGAATTCCTCCTTCTTCTCTTCATCTGCATTACTTGTAGGTGCGTAGGGTAGCGAAGCACTGCTTGATTGTGACTTTCCTTCCTTTCGAGTTGGGTGTTGCTGTCATGATCCTGATCGTTAAGGAGATTGGTTCTCCTTGCACGTGAGCCTTTGATATCCTTGTGGACATCATGATAACCACTCCAAAACTCAGTGTGCTGTGCTCGTGGTTGTCGTCTGGGTGAGAATATTGGAGTAGATTATTGACTCGTCTCCAGTTGACAGTTTGTAGAGTCCACTTCCATTCCATCAACAGATTCCTCGAAGATTCCTAGCACTTCTCTGCCCTACCTTTTCATCCTTTCGGTAATATGGGCAGCCTTGCCAGACAGCTTCAAACACATCGCGTACGTTCCATGTCCCTATGTTTACTTTCGCTCTCATCGAGAGAGAGAAGACACATCGGCCGACTGGCTTCCCGAAGTCTTTCACCAACTGGCGTCATTTCGTCTTTCTGATTCCAGCGAGGAATGATTTTATTTTTATTTCGTATATTTTTTCTGTGCTTTGAAGTTTTTTTAGCGATTGAACTGGTTTTACAGGGTAGGGCTGCTAGTCTTATGTTGAACCTTCCCTCTCTATTGAGGCTTAGGACCGGTTAGTAAACTAGTGAACTGGTTAACCTGGCGAGCTTTACCAAAAACGCTACACTCTCTATGTGTCAACTTCAACCAAAACTTACTCGTCCGTACGACATAAGGTGACGGTTTGACATAAGTCTCGAGGACTGTACGCAGGTCTTTGTGCATAGTGATGGTGTTCGGAAACCTCTACAACCGCCCTGTGACGGACCCTCCAGGGTTATCAGCAAAATAGTAAAATTCTTCTTCAACGACAAATTACGACAGCATACCATAGGTGTCGGTTGCTTGAAGGTGGCGTATATCATCTCAGTTCGTGCTTACCGATTCACCTACTTTGTGGAAATGGTTGTGCAGGCTGCACAATGCATGTTCTATGAAACTCCTTCTTCGAGAGCTATCTTTCACAGCTAGCTACAAGAAAGGACAAAGCTGTTTTTAAGTATTTCGTTACCTTTGATCATTTAACTCCTCCAGAACTTTCGTTCAAATCGATCATATCTAATAGAGTGTAAGCTCGCTATCTTAACAAATTAGAAACCTTAGCAGCTCATCGGTCAGGCCTGATCTCCACTTACAAAAGAGATACGCGGAATTTCCAGTTTTACTTTGGCCATAGTTTTCCTAAAATATTCTGTCTACCTATTTTTTACTTGTGTATTGATTCACCTATTTAATAATTTTAATCTGTTCACCATCTTGATTGTTTTCACCCCTCTTACTTACTTTGTAACTGTTGAGTTCTACAGGACTGTCGCACCTTTTGTTATATACCTCTAATTTTGTCTAGCTTTTTACCGACATTTGCCTATAACCCTAAGATAAGACCCTTGTTGCCGTTTTTGCTCCTTCTTGGTGCCGTTACTACTTTTTCCCCTACAGCTTCTGAAGTCTAAACTCATCGATTGTCAATTCTTTTAACTTTTCAGTAAATTTTGCATTTGTCAAGGTCTTTTAAACTGCATATATTCAGCATCGCTCTCAACTATCTTGACTGTTGTGGGGACAGTAAAAGCTCTCTGTTGACTGTCCGTCTTCTTTTCTTGTTTCCACGTGCTGACGGTTTTGTCGTTGCCGTGATTGGCCTTCTGATTACGGAATAGAGTAGACCCTTTCGTGCTTGATGTTCGTATCGTTTCGTGGACTGCAAAGTCACATTACCAGTGATAGCACTTTTACTATCAATTCTATCACTCTATAGATTATCGCACAATTATTTTGTAATTACCATGCATTCACCCTTCAGTGATTAACTTTAAACTCTATAAACAATTTTGATGACTGTGTTGACCTATTATTCATATATAAACACAGATTTTTTGTAACTATTGATGCGAATGTACTGCTTCTGAGAATGACACAGTGAAAAGAAAATTCTTTTAACTAATTGACTTTCGTTAGTTTTTCATGACTATTTTTTATGCTTCTCATTGAAAGCAGAGAGCTTGTCATTAAACTGACTTCAATTACTATGTATTATGGAGTGATATCAGTTACAGATTCATTGAAAACTCAAGGACATTGGACAGCTGTTTTGTTCTGACATAGGACTCCTCGACATCTTGCACCGATGACAGTGAATGGGATCAAACTAAAGACAAGAAAGTTATAAATCAAGCGCATAACTTTTCAGCTACTGGGTTGCAATTTGATTGTCCATATTTGCCTACCTTTGTCAATTCGCTATACAGCGCGACCACCATCCAGTGTCATGGGCAAGTATTTATCCTCCTTACCGACTTGGTTGACAAAACAGGTCACGCTTTTCGTCAGTACTTAGTGCTTCGAGAAATCTGTTGTGAAGCCAGAGGCTAATGAGCAATAGACAGCGATTCAGTTGGTTGTTTGTGTGGATTGATAGATTTCATTATAAGGTGACGTCAGTTACAGAACCACTAAACACGTGAGAGATTTGGGAGGTTGTCTCGTCTTAGTATGAAACTCTTCAGCAGTGTGGAACCAGAACTCAGACCTCTTGTTTTTTCACTACCAGTAAAGATAACCTTCCATATATTGAATTCTTTAAATTTATACAAATAAACTGCGTACGTTCTAACATAAGCTGTACTGTTGTAAGATGAAATCAGTTTCATACCTTATTAAAAAGTAGTGCTTATGAGCAATACATCTTTTAAACAAAAATATCAACAGTTATGACCAGATGTAAGCGTACACAGAATTCGACTCAAATGCACAACCAATTATTCCTTTCAAAATAGACTTATAGCAGTTTATGATAATCTTAGCTGCTGATGACAAAACAAAACTCTTCTTACTTATCCGGTACATTCTATAATTTGATTCCTTTGACATGGGTGTTCAATATTCCAACAGCTATTAGAGCGCTTAAAGTAATCGCCAACCAGGATAAGCTTAAAGAATCTAAAATGGTTAGAAGAAGAGATAATGTTTTACACTGTACGGTGTTTAATATATCAATAAACTACTGAATTTTTAATTACCTCTACTTATATGACGAAAGTTAAGTATTATATATGCATAAAGACTATAAGGTAGAGTGACTTTTAATAATGTTCCATACATTCATCGACTGCCTCAGTCAGTTTAATGGTTGAAGGAGTCTTAGTTTCTGCTTACAGTTTATAATGTTATATTCTTTATCATTTCGATTACCTGAGTAAAATATACGTGGTTTGCCAGACTAGTATTGGTACTAAATGATGTTTGAAGGTGAAATGAAAATCTGGGCCACCGGGTTTCTGGCCTAGTGCTATATCAACTGAGCTACGAGACCCGATTGCTGACCAAATTCTTTATTTTCACTTCAGTCTCCAAACAATTCTTTAGACTACCAAGTGAGTTCGTGATGCGTTATTACCGCTTGATGATACTCACACTGGCTGCTAAGTCAGGACTTCTTATATTAACCTCACAATGTAAGTGAAATTATAAACGTAAATGCACAATTTCATATTTTCTACTGATTTTTCAAATTTTCCACACCTGCATAGTATCTAATTTGCTGAACAAGAAGGTATGATGCATTAGTTGAACCTCTGTGGTGTGGTAATCAAAATCTCTGATCTAAGTCCGTTAGACTAAATGTTCTTTTATTTTTTCTAATATCTTATCCCGGCTGTCCTTGATATTGTATATTGACTAAGGAGATAGAGAAAACTGTTCTACAGAAACTAGATTTTGGCACCAGCACTGGTTGGCAAACTATACAGATGCTCATCATTGTTTGTTGACATAGAAATAAACTCTTGAAATATATCTGCCTTGGTTTTGAAGCCTTGGGAGTGATTAGTCTTGCGTCCAAGTCTTAGATGGGACAAGATTACTTACTGAGAAATAGGTATACTCAGTTGATGAGTTCCAACCAGAACACAATGTATGTCTGGTGTTTCACTACTAGCCACCATCCATCTCTAATCTATTTATCTTCTTAACAGAAACCTGTCAAATAAAATAGGCCAGGTATTTTGTTCAAATATGTTACCGATGGTGCAATAACTTCATTAACCACAACATTACTGGAGTACTATGCATTTTATCAATATGCAAGCGTGATCACTCATTGAATTGAGATGAGTAGCTTAGTTCTAGCTGAGGTACTGAATTCTGCTTTGAAGAGTCGAACGGATATTAACAAACAACTTAAAAGGGATTGTTTTCCACTTACTTGCTGAATTCATTTCTATAAGCAGAAAAGTATATAATAAGAACTCTGACATGTTACTGAGGTATTTGCGACTAATGTGGTCTAGCAAAAACCGAGATAAATTGCACTTAAGCAAGCCACAAAATCGGACTTGTTTCGACTCTGTCGATTCAGAGGTCCTATGAAAGTGTCTCATACTGAAACGGATACCGGATAAACATAAAATCACTGTTCTCAAACATCCATGGTCATGTCAGGACTTATGATAAGATATCAGGTGAGTTGTGTACTTCCAGTGGTGTCCATTCGGATCTCTAACCTCGTCGTTCTTATTTAATTTGATCATGGTGGTACTTATAGAGGCTTACTTCTCGTCGTCCAGTTTCACAGTGAGTGATTTTACCATGAGAGGATTCTTAGCAAACCCAGGACACACACAAGACATAGTCTTGTTTGATGAAGATACTGACAAAATTCAGAATCTTATGGACAGCTTTAGTGGCAATTTGAAAATATTTTGAATTTATTTCTCATCACTGAAGTGCAAACTCTTGCTTACTCATGTGTCGGAGAGTCACCGATGAAATTCCAGCACGGAAACAAAAAGCGGGATTGTCTTTCGTCAACTTACGCTACTTATAATGCCACCATTACGTCCGATTGCCTATCAGTGATCGAGTTACTGCACTACAGTCAGCTCTGTTCTACTCTATGTTTCTGAAATATGATTATTAAAGGTGGATAAGATGAGAAGGCCTCAAGTGATTGACTACCATTGTCTTCGAAGCGCAGGCCATGGCGTCATCATATAAGTAATATAGAAGTTAGGCTAATTGTTTTGAGCAGAAGAGGAAAGTCAGTCGATTTTACTGTGAAACTTTATCGACCCAGATTTCTCCGACATATGTTACGCATGTCTAGTCATCACTTCCTCTTTAGACAGTATTAGTTGAAGTAGCTTCAGACTGGAATACGATTAGAGGTGGCCAAACTAGTAACTGAAATCTTTCACTGTTGTTTTGAGCAGTTTTGGACAATTTAGACCTTCTGGTCAGGATTCGTATGACAAAAGATATCAACTTTTAAAGTACTGTGGCTCAGGATCGATCTGAGCAATACAGAAGCATCCACACATCATCTTCGTCCTAATTGTCCCACTGAATTTCATTATTCTTTCTTTCTACTTCGATAACTTTCTACCACTAAACGTTTTTCTGTTTTTTTTCTTTCATCTTTATGCATTTTCGGTTTAATTTATTGCTATGAAGCAAGGCAACTTGAACTATTACGGAGTAATAGCAGGTTCCATGTTGACATTGAGAATATTAATAATACACATGATAACTTTACTAGACGTACCTGTAGTTGTTTTTTTAGCTGACAGAGTAAGAAAATACAAGTGTAAATTAAAGGATGTATAATACATAAATACATAATCCAGAGACAATACAATAAATTCATTCTCACCCTTAAAATCTTCAAATAAGCTACCTCAATAGTAGGTATACTGCTCAAATTTTCAAGTCTCGTTGATAAACGCTGAATTATCTTTTGTTAGCCCTATAATATCAGTCAAACAACGTTCAGTAGTCCGGTTAAAACAGTCACAACAATGATACTATTTATGGGAACTGACTAGGAGTGGGATCCACGAAGAGCATCTCTTCCTGTTTAGGATTCAACGACTGGTTACACTTACTTCCCAGCTAGTGATTTTGTCCCCACCAGGAATCGAACCTAGTACTCATCACTTCAAAACACCAGAGCATTCATTATCCACCAGGTCACTGAGTCACATTGGCCTTTCGTTATATGATGAGGATGTTGCAACATCAAAACTATACCATCAATAGTTCTAAACCTTAAAAATACCGACAATATTCAGGAATCCTAACATAAGCCTATATGCCAATAGTGGCCGAAGAATTCGGTCTAATCAACGACTGAAATGCATAACCTACAACATCGGAACAATCATGAAATTGATTATCATTTTGTTGACTATATTTTCTTAAAAATTAACAAAAAGTATATGATATGAAATGTGTCCAATGAGTTCATGTTTCTTTCGGATTAATATCATGTCAAAAGCCTGGATAAAGTCAATATTACAGATATTCAAACCAGTTGCCTTCGTTATTTTGATTTCTTCTGCCTAATTTTCTTCCAGAATTTTATATTTAGGGAGAAGGCGTAAAAAAGTATGGATCACTAATGTTGTCGTTTGATTTGTTGAGAGTATACTGTGAGAGACATTAGTGGTAGTATTTGGATAATTGACGTTCTCAACATAAAACTCACGTGGTGCTCATGCAAAAACAAATAAAAAACGAATAAAATTCAGTAAATGAAAAAAATACCATTATTTTGCAAGTCTTACGATATTTCTGAATTTTAACAAGTTCACTGAATGTATCTAATCTCATTTAGTCTAAAAATATCGAAAATTACTATCAAGAAATTATTTAATGAAAATGTATTTAACCAAATATGCACATTTTATTCAGCCTATTTGGTGGTCAGTAGTGGAATACAAGACACATATTTCGTCTTGTTTAGGACTGATCAACTGGATGTACCAGCCTTCTACTGAGTGATATTGTTCTCACTAGCACTGTAACCCAGCACTCATCACTTCAAATCCCAAAAGGTTATCGACTAGACGACTGGGACATGAAAACTACCTTTAGTTGTTTATTGGTACTTGTAATCTCCTGTATCCAAACTGAACTGAATTGCTGGACCTCTGTTGACAAATGGCCTCCTATCCAGATGCCTTGATACTCACTCCCCTAATATTCTTTAAGTTGTAATCAATTCGATGGCTAGCCGTATAATCCACGACACCACTAAAAAGGCTTACAACCTGATCAATATTCAGGCAGAATCGAGGAATCCGGATAGGAACAATTTATCCGAGTATAAAAAGGGAAATTACAATTCTGTTTGCTGAGGACATTTAAGCATCACCCCAGTTAAATATAGCTGTCCGATATCAAAGTGAAAAATTATGTAGATGAAAAGTAATTAATATTTCAATGTGAAGATAAACTTGAACTTCTCATCAAAAACATGAATAGATGTATCATAGAATATTTTATTGTATATAACAAGTATGCTTTTTGTTATTTCCACTTGAAAGTTGAACAATTTTACCTAGACATAGACAGGAATACAACTTCAGTTTTAATTTTCTCTAATTCTTAACGGATTAGAAGATTATGAAAAGTCATGCAAATTATCGAGTTGTTCTTTCTTAGCTAAAGATTTCAGTGCTTCGTACATAAAGATAAAATAGTTCTTATATTAGAACAGGCAACGAATGTGAAAAAGCAGGATTTAATGAATTCGTAAGTTTCAGTAGTATTCCTTAGCTGGATACTCTAAATACTGGATTATATATACCGTTAAACAATGGAAAGGAATATATATATATATATATATATATATATATATATATATATATATATATATATATAACGAAGACTGAGATAGATTAAGGTGTAACAATATAGAAGTGAACAGTTTTTACAAGTCAGGTGGTAATACAAAGGGTAGAAATGGGTATTCAAAATTGAACGCGTTGAGGATAGATTAACTGAGTTTGGATCATAGTGGATTTCACGTAGGAAAATAATGATAATAACCATGATTATATAGGTAAGTTCTTATGTCATCCCAGCTTGTTTAGAAAATCAAAAACAAGATTTTTCTGAACGTTTCGCAGTGCATGCAACAGCTTCTTCAGCAGAGAAACAATAATTACTATTTGACTATCTGAAATAGCCGTAGTTTGGTAGACTAATATTTATACTGGATGATGGTTGAAGATGAAATGAAAATTTGGACCGCGGTTGGATTCGAACCTGCAACCACCAGTTTTCTGACCCGATGCTCTACCAACTAATAGTCAAATGATAATCAAAATGATGCTCACCCTCTCTAATTCAGTCAAATCTGGATTGGGATGGGAAGTCCTGACTAGGCAGCCAATTTGAATACAATCAAGCGGTAGAAACGTGTCACGAATTCACATGGAAGTCGAACAAAATCCTTGATGATTGAAATAAAGTGAAAATCTGGGCCTTGTAGCTCAGTTGGTAGAGCATCCGGATGGAAATCTGGTGGTCGCTGGTTAGAATCTGGCCGTGGTCCAAATTTCCATTTCATCTTCAATCATCACTCAGTACAAATAACAATAGTAATGTTGACACTGGGGTGAGAACTGAATTGATTGGGCATCGATCACTTCATTCAAAACAAGATAGTTAATAGTACTTCTGCAGACATAATCGTGAAAGTGGGTGTATACTGAGATGATTAATAATCATAATAGTGGTAATAGGAATAAAGTTACTTAGACGAAACAAATCAAGGAAGGAAAGGAAAAGAATGAGGGAGTGAGTGAAGAGCAAGTAAGGAAGATTGAATATGATTAGACGATGTTGTAATTCTTACCATGATAGATTCAGGCTGACTACCATTTCCTTCTGAATGCAGAGGTTTGGTCGGAGAAACTCGAGTCGTGCAGGCTTCTGCAAACCCACACAACTTATTTTGCTGTCTACTGATCACCATAGAGGAATTACATTAAATCCTACTTTTTCAACATTCGTTGGTTATTCAAATTTTGTATCGGGAAACAAAAGTTTCCAACTTATATATTACTGCCTGAACCTATGACGACCGGCAATTAAAAGTGTAAGAAGAACTAGGCTATTTTGCATGTTATTTAGAGAAATGCCCCACTGAGAACTGTAATGTATGTACTTCATTATGAAGCATGAAAAAATTCACTAAAATTAGGAATATGTTTAGAAATGTCTTCAATGCAATGAACCTCGCCTGGTTAACTAGTTAACTAGTTACTAGCTGGTCCTAAGCCCACGTAAAGAGAGAAGGTTCAACATACAGCTAGCAACCCTTCCCCATAGAAACAATTCAGTCACTAAAGAAACTTCAAAGCACAAAGTAAGCATAAAAAATGAAAATAAAATCATTCCTCGCTGGAATCAGAAAGACGAAATGACGCCAGTTGGTGAAACACTTCGGGAAGCCAGTCGGCCGATGTGTCTTCTCTCTCTCGATGAGAGCGAAAGCAAACATAGGGAAATGGAATGTCCGCACAATGTTTGAACTTGAGCATGGCTGTTCAGATTGCCAACGAGATGAGAAGGTAGGGCAGAGAAGTGCTAGGAATCTTTGAGGAATCTGTTGATGGAGTAGAAGTGGACTCTCCAAACTGTCAACTGGAGACGAGTCAATAATCTACTCCGATATTCTCACCCAGACGACAACCACGAGCACAGAACACTGAGTTTTGGAGTGAGTATCATGATGTCCCCAACAGCATCGAAGGCTCTCATACAGTGAGAACCAATCTCCTCCTTTCACGGGACCATGACAGAAAGATTCAACTCGAAAAGAAGGAATGTCACAATCATTCAATGCTACGCACCTACAAATAATGCAGATGAAGAGAAGAAGGAGGAATTCTACAGACAACTGCAATCAACACTGGACGAGACCACACCCCCAATTGGCGATATCAAAATTCTAATGGGCGACATGAATGTCAAACTGGGAACGGACAACACAGGAAGAGAACTAACCATGGGTGGAGAAGCACCAGGTAAAATGAATCAGAATGGAGAATTGTTTACAGAATTCTGTGCATTCAACACTTTGGTGATCGGAGTCAGTGTGTTCAAGCACAAGGATATCCACAAAGTGATATGGATTTCACCAGACACCAGGACACATTACACTAAAAATCAGATCGACTTTATCTCAATGTAAAGAAAGTGGAGATGCAGTCAGCCTACTTGACATAAGGTGAAGAAGGGGAGCGGATGTAGGCTCAGACCTCTATCTAGTGCAAGGAACTTTCTGAATCAAGTTGAAAACCTTCCAAGAAGATGGTGATAGACAACAGTTCAACTTCAACACCCAGAACAGAAACTGAACTGAAGGACGAAACTACAAAGGACATCTTCACATCAGCCATCAAGACAAAATGGGAGATATTGAGTGGCATGCCTGACGAAACCAGTGTGGATGAACACTGGAACTGTTTGAAAGCTGTGTGTAAAGGAACCTGCATAACCGTATTAGGGAGGAAGAAGAGGAGGCGAGATAAGGAATGGATGTCGACGGACACATGGAAGCTGATAGAGGAGGGAGAGGAGGGTAGAGATGGTGAAGCAGAAGATAAACCATTGCTGGAAGGATGCACAAAGAGAGGAGGAAGTGAGTACAATGTATGAAATACTGGACAAAGAAGTGAAGAAGAGTGCACGGAAAGACAAAAGACACCTCTACGAAACACTGGCAAGTGAAGCAGAACAGGCTGCAGGTAGGAGAGACAGAGATCTGACAACATTGTATGAAATAGTCAGGTTACTATCTGGGAACAGATCAACACTGATGAAACCAATGAGAGATGATGAAGGCAATCTAATCAACAAAGAGGAGAAACAAAGGAAACGATGGGCCGACCACTTCAAGAAGCTCTTGAATCGACCACCACCTACACTTCGTCCAGAAATGCCACCTGCAGCCCAGCCACGAGCCCTCTGACGAAAGTTGGAGTCCTGAGCGCCATAAAGCTGCTGAAATGAGGGAAGCAGTAGGGCCAGATAGAAGCCTGCCAGATGCACTGACAACAGACGCAGAGACAACAGCGGACATGTTCACATCACTATTGCAGAAGGTCTGGAAAGAAGGGAAAGTACCCAACGATTGGAAGAAGGGCCACCTTGTTGAACTCCCGAAGAAGGGAGACCAAAGTGTTTGCAAGAACTGGCGCGGAATCACGCTCCTGTCCACCCTAAGCTAAATATTAGGCTACATCATCCTGGAGAGACTAAAACATGAACTGGATTCAAAACTACGACCGAAACAGGCTGGCTGGATTCAGGAAGCCCAAATCATGTGCGGACCAAATTGCAACACATCACATCATCATAGAACAGAGTATAGAATGGCAGTCAACTCTCCACCCCACCTCAACTTCATCGACTTTGAGAAGGCCATTGACAGCATCGACCGAGAAGTAGTTTGGAAACTGCTTCAATACTACGGAATACCGCAAACCTTTATCAGCCTCATTCAAAAGCAGCTATATGAAGACGCCACGTGCCAAGTGATTCACAACGGAAGCTCAGTGATGCCTTTGAAGTTAACACAGGAGTAAAACAAGGCTGTCTACTATCACCCATGATATTCCTGATTGTGATCGACTGGATAATGCAACAAGCAGTGAGGAGCTGTGAGAAGAGGTGGATACAATGGCTGGATCACGGAAAACAACCTAGAAGATTTGGATTTCACCACCGATAACTTGTGCCTGATGTCTTGTGGCACAAACTCGAAGATGTGCAGACGAAAACTAAGAAGTTTGCAGAGGAGGCTGGGCAGCGAAGACGGGACTTCATGTGAATATAGAGAAGACAGAGGTGATGAAGATACCCAACCACAACACCAACAACAACAACAAGCTTCAATCACCATCAACGGAGAAACTCAAAGGAAGTAGTCTCCTTCACCTATCTAGGTAGCATAATTTCAACTACAGGTGGCACAGCCACACACACGAGGACGTCAAAGTCAGCCAGGATCGGAAAGACAGCAAGACAGGTGTTCCTTCATTAACCTGAAACGAGTGTGGAGATCTACTGCACTGCACTCAGCATAAAGCGTGAACAACATCCGGATTTTCAACACCAACGTCAGTCTAGTCAGTGCTTCTGTGTGGTTCAGAGACTTGGCGCGTTACGAAAGGAATTCTCAGCAAACTTGAGAGATTCATCAACAACTGCCTACGCTGGCTGGTTACTGCAGATAAGATGACCAGAATGATAAGAATGAGTAACAAGGAACTCTGGGAATAAACCAACCAGCAACCTATCACTCAGCAAATATGTAGAAAGGAGTGGAGATGGATTGGGTTGTGCATACACTGATGAGACCATTCGGAGACATCACGCATCATGCCAGGCCCTCGAGTGGAACGCAGATGGGAGACGACGAGTTGGGTGTCTGAGGGGAGGGTGACATGGAGGAGATGGTGTGAGGAGGAAGTGAGAGCTTGTGGGCTGTCGTGGAGCCAGGTTGAAAATATTTCAGAGAACAGAGTGGAATGGAGACGTGCTACTGAAGCCCTATGTTCCATTAGGAACCCAAAGGACAAATAAATAACGTAAAATAATAAATGAATGCAATGAGTTATTTACATCAATGTAGTACTGATTGGAACAAAAGCATAGTAAAATCATGATAAACGAAATAAATATTCTTACTGGTTGTTACATCATCATCAAACAGACCACTGCCTGTTTTGAGAAGTAAAACAAAACGTGTGAAGCCAACGAAATGAAAAATGTACATAAAAACAAGTAATAAACAGTATACTGAGTTTGAAGTAATGATGCATAGTGGCTAGCAGTGGAATCCAGGATACGATTGATCCCTAGTGTAAATCCCGATGGGTACAACATCACTTACTGGAAGGCAGGTACATCCAGCTGACGAGTCCCAAATAGGATTAAATGTGCATCCTGGATTTTACTGCTAGCCACTATCCATCATTACCATAATTAGCACACAGGTAATATCGAGGCATCCGAATAGGAGCCCATAGGCCATTAGAGACCGATCAATTCGGTTCAATAAACGACTGTATAATACAAGCAATAATAGTATATTGCCTTTCTAAGGCAGTTTTTTTACTTTTTTCTCCTACTATGTCTGGGAAAAATGGAAGGATGAAAATGATGATAGGAATATACTTGGTAATAGCAGTATTGAATTCACTGTCTATTCATTTGACTACTTGATTCTAATCAACCAGCACGTTATCAATTCAAATCTCTTTCTATCCAGGGAGTTAAGAACAAACGGCCTTAATTATTTGCTACATAATGCGTGATAATCATAGTATGCTTTTCTGTGTGTGATTAGTTGTTTCATCTGAGACTCGAGCTTACTGTACCTGGAATTGTAACATTGAACGATATAAAAAGACTTGGATGTCCTGAGTTGGATCCTACGTAAAGTAATGGATAAATGTTTAGTGTTGCAAGGTTGTCAGTGGACCTCTCACTGACGACTATTTATACCAAAAACCTCATATGATTCCCTATGAATTCACATAGTGAGAAGATATGTCCTTTACGATAGTAGATTGTGTATACAAGTCAATGTGAGATGGAAATGTTAGGCTGTCGATTAATTAGTATAGATTAATAGGAACAAAAGCAAATGTTTTATTAAATAATAATGCCCTATGTCAATCTTGGTGACTAGCAGAGGAATCCGGGACGCGCGTTTCGTCCCAATTGAGTCTTGTCAGCCGAATATATCTACACCCCAGTTCCAGGCTGTGTTGTTCTTACTGAGGCTCAGACCCGGTACCCTTTGTTTCAGACACCAGAGCGTTATCCACTCAGCCACTGATCACGATATCTACCTCTTGTGCCATGGATATTATTACAAGTATCATAACAATCAACTTCTTAATTACCTGAAACAGTTTGAATAATTGTGCTGAATACTAAGACAGTGATAAGTATAGTTCCAAATTCATAAAATACAGTCATTTCTCTCCTGTAAATTTAATGAAACCCAAAAAGGAAATTCTTTCAAGTGTATTTCACAGTCTTAAGTATCAGCTTATAAAACAAAGGGGTTTTTCGCCATGTTTATTTTGATAAACTCAATTCTTATGTAAATAGTAAACAAATAAACAACTAGAAGGCGATATGATACTTTATATTCTTTTGGCATTTGAATCGTTGGTTAACTAGTATAAGTCTTTAGGCAGACGTTAAAATGATTTCATCGATAAAGGTGACCATTTATTTGTCTAGCTGGCTGACTTTACGCTTTCAACAACATAAACTTATGCAACTACACACAGCTAATTCATATCTAATTGCATCCAGTTTCATAGAAGGTAAATATTTACTCATATTTTAATTTGTACAAACGTTTAGAGAAAATGACGACTAAGTTTCTAGTAAATTTTTATTATTTATTGATAAACTTGTAAGTCTCCATTGTTTTATTGGACCGAATTGTTCGACCTCTATAGGCATATAGGCTCCTATGCGGATGCCTCCATATTGCCTGAATATTAATTATGGTAATTTGGCTGGTTGTAGCTAGCTGAGGAATCCAGGAAGCGCGTTTGTCCTACTCGTGACTCGTCAGCTGGATGTGCCTGCACCCTAGTGAGTGATATTGTTACCGCTGAGATTCGAACCTCGTACTCACCGCTTCAAACATCAAGGCATCTGCGTAGGAGCTCATATGCCAATAAAGGTAGAAAAATTCGATTCCATGAAACAAAGGAGAATAACAGGTATATCAGTGAATAGTAATAAATACTACCCGTTTTACAAGAAGTGGGTATCGTTCCTCCATGGTGTAGTGGATAACGCCTTGATGTTTGAAGCGGTGGGTACGGCTTTTGAGTTTCAGCGGTAACAATACACTCACTAGAGTGCAGGTACATCCAGCTGATGAGTCCCAAATAGGACGAAAAATGCTTCCTGGATTCCTCTGCTAGCCATAACCAGCCAAATTACCATGAGTCTAATTTTTACTGATATACTTAGGGTTGCTTCAGGAAGTAATTAAAACAGCTTAGGGGTAACATCCATGAATACAGTGCTAAATGATATCAATTTGAATATATCTAGGATGATTGCATTACAGTTGGTAGAGACACCCTTCATGGTGAGCATTAAACAACATCGCACTTCATTTCATCTGTTCAAGTCATTAATCGAAAAAATTGTTTTAAAACTATACAACTGAAAAGTTTCACTTTGGCAGGTGTTAGTTGGTTGAAAGTAATCAGTAGGAAGCCCTGGACCTAGGTTTCGTACTTGTTGGCACTCGTCAGTAAGGCGTATCTGAAACGTCGACGGAACTGATGTCCCGCCTGAGATCCAGACCCATGTTACTTAGTGTTGTAGTCACCGACTTTACCACTAAGCTGTTTGGGTGGCAATTCACCTCCTATTGTACTGGGTTATATGCACTGACTGGTTACGGGAGAACAATCGACTTCATGTTGTCTAGTCCTGAATGCAGACCGAATCCTATGGACCATATCTGTAATGTGGCCACCAAGGTACGAGGCTCAGTATCGTGGTACACGTTAGTGCAGTGACAAAGTCTCTTATTTCAACACTGGGTGACACGGGTTAGAATCTCAGGCGGGACATTAGTTCTACCGAGGTTGCAGATACGCCTTCCTGACGAGTGCTAACGAGCACGAAACCTAGGTCAAGCAGGGCTTCCGGCCGATTGTTTCTAACCAACTAACATCTACTAATATGTACCGAGATGCTGAGTCACCTAGCTTGGTGACTGCATTGCAAATATAATCGGTAGGATTCGGTCTGCACTCAGGACTAGACAACATGAAATTGGTTGCTCTCCCGTAACCAATCAATGCAGGTTTCAAGTTAATTATTTAGTCAAGAAAACTGAACTGTTTTGCTCAAAGAGCAAGGTGAAATGGGTTTGAAGCAAGCAACACGTAGTTTCATCTGTAGAACTTCTTACTGAGCCCACATCTGTAAGATTCTTCTCATACGTGTTCAGCTATCATTACAGACTTGCTACATATATTTGTTTCAAGTCCCAGTATTTACAACTATTTCATCACTTAGTAAAACAGAAGTGTGCTCACTTCCGGCTGTGAATAGAAGAGTTTTCCAACTTGGAGATTAGTGGAGATATATTGATTTTATGGTAGGGAACCATTGAGGACCTAGAAGCACTGAACAGCAATTCCGTCTTAGTATCAAACTCCTCAACAGTGCACATTGATGACCTCACCCACCGGGAATCGAACCCAGAAGTCTCGAATCCACGAACACCACATTACGACTGAGGTATTGGATTATAATCCTTCCGTCCACACCTTCCTACTCCTGTCACTTCGCGACATAGTGCGGCGACCACTTCTGAGGAGTCCCATACCATGACGAAACACCTGTCCAGTTCTCCTAGCTTCTCAGCGTTCTCCAACTCATGTTAATCTGTGGTGAATGCCAAGTTGAAACAAATCAATAAATCGTCACAAATTACTAAAATAAATTGCTATGTAGTGGTCATTAGTGACTTTCTTTGGGCAGTGTAACTAGCTAACTGGATTCAGCTGATGTAAACGCTGGATAGTTGTTTCATGCGCCTAAAAATTCTTATCGACTGGGTCTTGGGCGTTAACATTACTTCATTCTAGCTGCCTGATGCCGTTAACTTGCATGAGTGGTCAACAAGTAATCACTCCTGTCAAAAGTCTGCATTATACAGTTATCGTGCTTACAATGTAGCCAATCTTGATGATACAAAATAGACATTTTTATGAGAAACAAGAGTAAATTCTTTGAAGTACACTCTTATCCAGTTGTAATTGAAACCTAGTAATGTATGGCCTACAACCATATGGTTTCATAGTACTAACTTGGTTCTGATGAGATAAACATAGAAGCTGTTTTCAGGAGTCCCATCGACATAACTGTCAATGTTTCGTTGCATGACGCAATTTTAATGAGTTTAGTTCAGAATGGATAACACATTGAATTTCTACTAGGATTAATTATCATGTATTAATTGTACTGTTATTCAAATCGTCTGGTTGCCATTATTACTTTGAATCAGTTAAAATAGCTTTAATCATGCATCCATGATGAATTCAAACAATTGGCGCTACTGGACATCTGATTTCTTTTCGAAATTTCATAATTAATTTTTACAGTGATTGGTTGTCTGATCCTGAGTGCTGATCGAATTCTATCGATTGATTTCAAATATGGCCGCAAGTCTCACCACTGAGATACACTGGGACAGATGTTAGTTGGAGGGAGGTAACCAACAGAATGCCCTGAACCTGTTTCGATCAGCACTTAGGATTAAACAGTATGAAGTTGGTTACTTTTCAGTGACCATTCAATGTAAACAATCCTGTCCTGCAGGAGGTCAGTTGTGTGATGTGGGTTCGAATCACAGGTTGGATATCACATCCGTCGAGGTTGCCTGTGTGAGCCAAACAGCAAGAAGCCTACATTTAGAGTTTCCTATTGATTACCTCAATCCAGTTTACATCCACCTCAGGTTAATTTTTGTCTGGGAACTGGAATAAGTGAAGTGTATTTTACTTAGGTAAATAATTCTCTTCACACCGATGAATTCCGTTATATGACAAGTTTAATCAGAGATATATTTTCATAATTTTATTGAACAGTAATTCCTGACATGGATTTCTTCATGTACATGAACTGGCAAATGAAAAGCAAACTGTGTGACGAACGCCATCTGTGTTCAGCACTGATTAGTGTCTGTCAAGTGTTAGGTGTACATTGTCGCCACTAAACTGGGTAATGTGACACTGTAATGTACTGTATTTAAGTGTTAGATGTCAAAAATTGATCAGCAGATCTATACTCAGTATTAGTTGCAAACTACCTGCAAGTTATACCCACATATTTAAGATCTGTCCTAAGAGAAAATGAAGCATATAAAACTGACCAAGGAAATTCAACTATTGCAAATTACTAAGAATGTAACTGCTGGATCACCTAACACCAGGTTACAAATATACTTTCATGTTCCAGTCCTGTACAGCGTCAGTCGTGGGCCGAATACATTGTTCATAAAGTCTGTGACTGCAGCAATGAGTATTCTGCATCTATATATCCTTCAAGTTATTACACATACCTTGCAAATGGGCGATAAGCAAGTATATAACATAAGCACAAAGCTTCCTGCTGACCGAATTCATACATATGGCACTCACACATGACTCTTTGACCGAATACCTTTCTACGAAAGTAACACTTACATCATAACTAGGTTATAAGAGATGAGATAACTACGGGAATGACCAAGAAAATCAGCATACTTTATCCATTTGTAGCTGGCAGAGGAATCCAACCTCACCTGATTGACCAGTTCACTAGTTACTAGCTGGTCCTAAGCCCACGTAAAGAGAGAAGGTTCAACATACAGCTAGCAACCCTTCCCCATAGAAACAATTCAGTCACTAAAGAAACTTCAAAGCACAAAGTAAGCATAAAAAATGAAAATAAAATCATTCCTCGCTGGAATCAGAAAGACGAAATGACGCCAGTTGGTGAAACACTTCGGGAAGCCAGTCGGCCGATGTGTCTTCTCTCTCTCGATGAGAGCGAAAGCAAACATAGGGAAATGGAATGTCCGCACAATGTTAGAACTTGAGCATGGCTGTTCAGATTGCCAACGAGATGAGAAGGTAGGGCAGAGAAGTGCTAGGAATCTTTGAGGAATCTGTTGATGGAGTAGAAGTGGACTCTCCAAACTGTCAACTGGAGACGAGTCAATAATCTACTCCGATATTCTCACCCAGACGACAACCACGAGCACAGAACACTGAGTTTTGGAGTGAGTATCATGATGTCCCCAACAGCATCGAAGGCTCTCATACAGTGAGAACCAATCTCCTCCTTTCACGGGACCATGACAGAAAGATTCAACTCGAAAAGAAGGAATGTCACAATCATTCAATGCTACGCACCTACAAATAATGCAGATGAAGAGAAGAAGG